TCATGGTTCCAGATTTTTTCCAGCTACTGACAGACTACTGGTTCCTTAGTATTCCAAAGCACTGGGTGAGACATCTCTTTTCAAAGCTTTTTTACAGATACGGCCTAAACCCATTTAAAGATCAAATTTTAATGACTGAAGCAAGTGGACTTAAAAACTTTCTATTTTCCTACTTCCCATATTTTCCCCAGAAAAGCAACCAAGTAAATAGTGTGGCTTTATCTGACCTCTGGCTAGACAAAGATGGAAAACTTCCAGGAGGAAGAGGTCAAACAAACATTTACTCTCTATCTTATGATTTGTTTCTCCAGTACCCCACTCCCAAGGTACCATAATGTATTAGTCTAGGTACTTTAGAGAAACAAATCCACAACAACTCATGTATAAGAGAGTTTTATGTAAAGAAAGTATGCATCATGAAAACATCCCAGTCCAATGCTGCCCAAGCCCATGAGTCCAACATTAACCCAACACCAGTGCACAAAGCCACCATTGTGGATTGCTGTTCATCAGAATAAAAAAGTAATAAATTGTTCAGAGTCGGTAAACATTGTGATCATGTGGGTTTGTGCTTTAATCAATAGGTTTCTTTATGAGCAACACATAAATTTGTACTAACATTCTATCATACAGGTTCACTATTATGAAGATGGCAATGTTCAGTTGGTTAGTCACAAAGATGTACAGGATTCAGTAACTGTTTCGGTGAGTATACATTAAAGTCTGTCTCGCTTGTGCCTTTTTTTTCCTAGACAAAAATATTTTTGAGCTGGAGTGCTGGATAGCCATTAGATGTTCAGTTTGTTTTCAAGCTTTTGGTTTTGCAACTTTTACTAGCAGCCAGAGTATGTTTATATACTAGGGGGTACCGCCCCCAAAAAAGAAAAAGAAAAAAGCTCTGCTGGGAGGAGCTTTCATAGTACGCATTTCCCTCCCCCCCCAGGTAAGCATCCAGCACCTTGCTCTGAGTTAGTACACCCAATGGCATCACCTGGGAAGGTTCTCTGTGGTCACAGTGAATTTTTTCATAAATACAGTTTTGGTGAACCTCGTTTTTTGTGATGGCTGATATAGGAAAACAGCGTGAGGCTGTGAAATTTTGTTTCCTGCTTGGGAAAATTCTGCAGAAACTGTTGTAATGTTGAACACAGCTTATAAGGGTAGCAATATGGGAAAAACTCAAGTACACAAGTTGTTTTCTCTTTTCAAAGACATGATGCTATTCTTAGGAACCCGAAAGCCATCATCAATCAAGCCAGTAGAAGGATGCCATCATCACCTCACCCAAAAAAGCTTATCAAATGAAATCAAAGATTAAGATGATTGATGCTCCTTTGGTCTTTTTGATGTGAGGGAGGGGTTAGTGCTTTTGGAGCTCTTTCCACCAAATCAGACTGATAATCAAGCTTTCTGTTTAGAGGTTCTGACAAGATTACCTAACTATGGGACAAATACGGCCCCATTTGTGGCAGACGGGGACTTCTTTTGCCACCACGACAATGCATTTGCTCATGCAGCCATCTCAGTACTCCAGTTTTTGGCGCACAAAAAAACATGCCTCTTTTGCCGCACGTACTTTACTCACCTGACCTGGCTCCTTGCAACATCTTTTTGTTTTCTTGAATGAAGAACAACATGAAAGGACAGCGGTTAGAAGATGTAGAAGAGGTGAATTAAAAAATGAGGGAGGTGCTGTCAGTCATGCAAACAGATAAGTGTGACAAATTCCAAGAAAGGAATCCCAGATTTGACAAATGTATTAAGTGTAATGGAGAGTACTTTGAAGGTGATAAGGTTGTTTTTTTTTGGGGGGGGGATCCAGTTTTTGGTGGGTACCCCCTCGTACAACCAACCAGTTGTATCAATTCATAGTAGTCCATGATTCAGAGTTGGGATAATGACTTTAGAGAGCGCGGACCTTTTTTTTCCTCTTTCTCACTTGTGGAATTTTCCAAGGACACCAACACCATTAATCAATTCTCTCTCTCTCTCTCACTGCCTTCTAGTTGATGCCGACTCAATATGACCCTCTAGGACCAGGGTAGAACTGTCCCTATGAGTTCCCGAGACTAAGTCTTATAGGAACAGCAAACCCCATCTTTATCCCGCAATAAATGCTAGGAGGAAGGATATTTTGAAAAAATTAATGCTATGGGACTACATTCATAGTGTTAAGAAACAGTATTTTTAACAACATTTGGTCCAAAAGTATTGTGTTCTGTCTCGTGAAAGAAGGGACATAATTAGTTCTTGACTTTTTCATGCATACTCTCAATTCTTCTTTATATACTCTTAGAAGTTATTGAAGGCCCCAAAGAGTTTTGTGTATCTGTGTTATACGTGAGGCTTCAAAGTTCATGGGAAAATTCCATTATCTTTTTCAGTGTGATAAAATTGTCACAGGTTGTGTAGGCCTGGGAAACTGCATGGTGTATACCTGAGAGTGAGAAAAACAAGTGATACTTTAGTATTAGAACAAAAGAGAAAATAGTGGACCAGCTTTACCTCTAGCGGTTGCCTCATATATGCCAAACAGAAGGTTTAGTCCCTATAAGGGGTTCCAGATCTGCCAGTGCTTTCTGGGCCTTTTTTTTTTTTTTTTAAACAAACAAAAACTGGTTCATGTCAAACCTAAAGCCCTAGGAGAGCCCTCCTCTGGACTTTAAAATTTACCCTCTTACCTTCCCTTATTTTGTACTTAATAGGGAAAGGAAGGGTCTTTCTTTAAGCAACTGTGATTGCTGAATTAGGATTATGAGTGTGTATATATAAATCCAAGTCTGAAGACATTAACAATGACTTAAACCAGAGGTTTTTTTAAGGTATCCTCATGATGATGTACTATGGCAGGGTGTGGAAAGAGCCTGAGGGCTTTTATTGCTGTTTGTTGTTGGTTTTTTGGCAAAGATAAGGATTGTAATCCCATATTTATAACTGAAAAACATGTTTAATTTCGGACAAATCACTTGGTTTTCTCACCTTCCAGAAGTGGTGATATTAACAGCATCCCTACCTCCCAGGCTTGTTATGAGGACAAGCTTGGAAAAACTTTGTAAACTGTCACGTGTTACACAAGCTAGCTGTGGTGGTCTTGTGGTGTTTAAGTCACGGTATACGTGTTTCTCAAAATTCCCATTTCCTCCTCTCCCCTCACTAGAATGAAGTCCAAACTGCCAAGGAGTTTATTAAAATCATAGAGCATGCAGAGAACGAGTATCAGGTAAGAAGAACTGGAACCAATTTTAGTAGATCTAGTACCTTATTTTACTCCTAATCTAGTTCCTTAGATCTGTGTGTCCACTAGCGTAAACATACATGGTGCTCAGTGTGACTGATTGTGCAGACTTTGCAGACCTTACTATTTTGCATTCCCCTTATAGGTAAGGTGTTGGGATTAGGTTAGTGGCCCTAATCTTAGAAAAACGAGTTCCTTAGATCTGTGTCCATTAGCATAAACATATGTGGCTCAGTGTGACTGATTGTGGTGACTTTGCAGACCTTACTACTTTGCATTCCCTTATAGGTAAGGTGTTGGGATTAGGTTAGTGGCCCTAATTTTAGAAAAAATTAGGTGAGCTTTTTAAACTTCAGGAATTGGAGAAGTGCACACTGAAATCCTGTCTGTTCTCAAGCATGTCCTTTGACCTCGGAATTTCTGTGCTATCCACAACCACTCCAGTCTCTGATCAATTATCTATTTCAGACGGCAATTAGCGAAAACTATCAAACCATGTCAGACACCACATTCAAGGCCTTGCGCCGGCAGCTTCCGGTTACTCGCACCAAAATCGACTGGAACAAGATACTCAGTTACAAGATTGGCAAAGAAATGCAGAATGCTTAAAGGCTGAATGTAAGATTCTTCAGTGTGGCGGGGTGGGAAAAGGGATTCAACATGTGATCATATGATAAATAGGTGGTTTATAAACAAGAGTGATATTTTACTAGGGCTTTCAAAGTAAACAGGTTTTCTAGCCTCATGGATACTGTTGAACCTATACCATTGTCTGAATTATTTTATGTTCTGTACTTTGTAATATTTTGTTGTCACTATATCTACTTGTTTTTTATTTTGTTTTGTTTTTTAATTCTGCCACACTTCATGTTAGAGAGATATCTATCTTGGAGTCATTTTACTGTTTAGAAAATTGTCCAAGTATATGTTCCGTACTTTTTTACCCCTGTTCTTCAAAGAACTTCTGGCAACTTCAGTGGCTTTTTACTGCTAAACCAACAGCTAAAGAAGTGATGCTAAAAACTTTAGCTAAGTAGCAGACACATTGATCATTCTCCCTCCAATTGCTTTAATCATCCTATATGGTGTTTCATCACTGGATAGATTTCAGATTTTTGGATTGAGGATTTTCACATCGTTTGAGGGTCAGGGGGCACAGAGGAAGTTTTCTGGAAATTCCATTATAGCCAGCTTCTCTAGGGAAGTTGTTTTTAAATCCAAAGACTTGAACCACATTCCCTGCACATGTACATGTTTGCTTTCTTTTTTCTTATTTCCCTCAGTGTCTCCATTTCCATGTAGCACCCTTGTAGTTACAGACATCTGCATTTTTAGAAGTTACTCATTTGTTTATATTCAAGAACTGCTGATATACTGTGGATATAGTAGAGTATATATATATACTAAAACTTGAAAAATGCAGATGTCGAAGGAATAATAAGTATATCGTATTTTAATTCTTTGTGGCAGGATTATTGTATAAGCAAATGAATCAAACAACGATGTAAATCACAAATGAAAACTGAAAATGAACCAAAGGAAGAAGGATCGCTTCCAGGCAGTATCTTTCTATTGTAGCCTGTTATTTAAGGAAATACTAGTGATTTGTTCTAAATAGGTTGTAAAACACGTTCCACAATTTCCTTCTTCAGTCCTGCCTGCCAAAAACTCAAATGTAACTGTGATATAGCAACCCTTCCCAGGTCCATTGGCAGGTGTGTGTTTGATCTCTGAATGCACAGGTGACATGGATATGATATGACAACTGGTAATGGATTCATTTACATTGTTTACATTTCTATGACCAGGCCTTAAGGGAAGGTCAGTTTTTTTTAAACTTAAGTAATGTCTTCCTACCTATCTCCAAATGTCAACAAAGAAGGGTGTTTGTGCTTCAATTTTTTTTTTTTGCTCAGTAATATAGTCAAGCAAGAGTGTTTCCAAGTGACCTGTTGAGCTATGTAAAACATTTTTGTTTATTTCAAATAAAATATATTTGTATTATTTGTCATTCATAACTATCCACCCATACCACATTATCCGCTGTAACAGGTAGACCAATACAAATATACCTGTTTTGTTCTAAAACTGTCTGAGTCTCTTATTTTTGATCAGCTATTTTTCTCAAGTTAAGATATGAAACTGTCTTTGATCTTATTTGATGAAAATGTTCAAGATTTCTAAAATTGGTTTCTACCTTCAACTATTACAAACCCAAGTAAATACCCAGGGACTGACAAAGAATTAGCCTTTCTTTCTTTTTTTTTTAATTGAGCAGTATCTCAGAGGGTCCTATTATTCTGTTGTAGTTCAAAGATTTTGTTTTGAGTTTCCATTTCTGTCAAAAAGCAAAATCTAGTCTGTCACTTAGAAAGAAAGACCGAAGTATTTTTGTAACCACTTGGCAGATAGTAGAAATGAAAGAAGCCCTGCACCGTGAACTTGGGTAATATACTTCACATTTGTTTAAAATGCTTTCTAGCCATTTCTGGTTTAGCCACTTTCTAGCCATTTCTGGTGTTAGTCTGGGTTGACTAGAGAAATAAATTCATTTTCTAGCCATTTCTGGTGTTAGTCTGGGTTGACTAGAGAAATAAATTCATAGACACTCATGTGTATAAGAAAAAGCTTTATGTATAAGAGCAATTGAATATTGAGAAAACATCCCAGATCAAGTGCTTAAGTCTGATATTAGCCCATATGTCTGATACCAATCTATCAATTCCTCTTCAGACTCACGAAACACATGCAATGATGCCGAATGCAGGACGATCACAGGCCAGTGGGTGGAAAGTCTTGTGTATCCAGTGGCAGTGGAAGCATCTCAGTTGTGGGTGGGGCTCCATGTGGCTCTATACTAGAGCTATCTCTAGTATAGCTCCTAGGGCTCTGGCTGCATCAGGGTAGCTCCATCAGGCTGTCGTCAGTAATGTCTTGCAGGGAGTTTATGTATCTGGCCTCCAGTGAACTATTTATCTCTGTGGCACCTCCAAATGAGCTCATCAAGCTGCAAACTGATTGATAGGCTACTCTACCCCTTCACAAATTGACAGGGAACCTGAAGGAGTTTGTGTACCATAAGCAACATCATGATAAACAGAAAACAAACCTGAGGCTGTCGAGGTTTTCATTTTGCTTGGACCCACAATCTACACCCATGGAAGCAGCAGTCTGGAAATCAAATGGCAAAGACCTCTAAATTGTTAAAGAGCAATGATGTCACTCTGAGGACTAGTCTACCAGACAAAACCCCGGGTGATTGAAAGCACATGTAAGTGAGCCAATGAATAAGAAAAGCAGAGAACTGGTAGATTTGAATTACTTGTTGAAGATATTCAAAGTACAAGTCTGCCTCAGAGGAAGTACAGCTGTAGTGCTCCTTACTAGAGATGATTGCTAGTGCGTTGGACATATCAGGAGGGATCAGTCCCTAGAGAAAGATTTAAAACTTGGTGAAGCTAGAGGTGAGTAGAAAAAGAGAAAGACCCTCAACCAGATGGATTAACAATGGCTGCAACAATGGGCTCAAAACATTTGTGAGGATGGGGCAGGACTAGGCAATTTAGCCTTTATACAGTTGGGTCACTATGGGAACCAACTAGACAGCACCCAATAACAACCCTCCTTGAAGACTCAGAATTGGAATTGGCACCTTTTTAAGAGATGTTTGTAATGCAAATATATTCAAACATTCTTGCCTTTGTCTTTTAACTCGTCTGTTTCAAGGCTATCGATTTCCTTAGTTCAAACAGTATAATAACTTCATTTCTTGGCCATTGAAAAGCTTTGTTTTCTTGTATAATTGGGAGGAAGGCAACCTTCCTTGCCAAGGCCTGCAGAGCCTCCCGAATTCCTCAGGCTTCTTCAGCAAAACATTTGCTGGAATTGTGTCTATTTTATCACATATTGCAGAGATCTGCCTGTGGTGCCCTACATGTCTTAGGGCAAAGGTTTCCAAGGCCAGATCAAAGCAGTGTTCTGTGGGGCCTCGCTCCTGGGTTTGGCTTTGAGTTGACACTGCTGAAGGCTGTTTGTTTCTACCTGGGTGGCTGTGTGCCATTGTTGGCTGCCAACTTCCAGTGCCTGCTCTCCCTTTGAGAATCTAGAACTTCGGTGCTGGACTCATCTACTTTATGAGAAATTGATCCATTCTGCTTTATTTGTTGACAATTTTATAAAGAACTATCCAGTGAACCAGATACTCAAGATAGCCTAGTTCAGCTACGGAAGCTTACTGACCTGGTCTTTTGTCATTCATGGTGTCAGTATATAGGGTTTCTGAGATTAAGTCTTTCCAGGAGCACATAGCCATCATTTTTCTCCCATGGAACTGTTGGTGGGTCTGAACTTCTGAACTTGTTAGCAGTCTAGTGCTCGCCTAAAAATGCCACTGGAGCTCTTAGTTCAGCTATCAGGGAAATCAAATAAAGATTGGTATGGAACAAAACTGGGTCTTAAGAGAATTAGATGAGCTAAAGTTCTTTGAACAGAGGGCATATATAAACACAAGCTTTGACGTGACGGCAGAAATCAATTTCCCACCTCTTCAAAAAGAACATCTCACTGATTCAGTTAGCAGATATACCTGCTATAATAGCCTTTCTTGTTTGTGATAGAAATACCAGTTTCAGTTTTCAAACTTTATAGCTCACATTTTCTTTTTGATGTGCCCCCACCCCCTTTTTTTTTTTAACCAGACAAGCTCTTAATTGCTTTATTTAAGGTCTGCTTTTTGGTTGGCCCAGAGAGTACAGATTAGTTGTAGCACAGATAATTAGAGAATGCTCAAATGCTGAATTGTACAAACCAAGTAACAGGAGTAATGAAAATCAAAATACTGAGCATTTATTTAGTTTTCTTCAAAGTGATCTTGGAGACTATAGGGTTGACCAGCAATTCAGTGCTATTTGAGCCCACAATCAAAGCAGTCATTCCTTTTAAAGCCAGAAACGGACAATAGTTTGGGTGAAGACTTCAAGCAAATAAAACCTGAGCAGCCGGATGTTGAAAGATGGGAAAAGACATCTTTCAAGACATCTAGAACAGCGTGTATGAAAACAAACTTTCATATCCAGATGAAATGAATGGATTTTTCATAGGAAATTGGTTTAGACAGGTTTCATAATAACCAGAGCCACCCACTGCCCCATTGACACAACCCCAGGGGTTTCTGCTTCACCACAACTCCTGGTGTGTGTTTGGGGACCATCTACATGATGTGTCCAGAGAATAATGTGGTATGAAAAGTGGTAGGTTTAGGAGAGGGTAAGCCAGCCTGCAATTTTGAAGAACTCACCTTCTTCAGTCCTCTTGGGCCTTAGCAGGTAAAATCTTTGAACAAAAGGAAAATTTCTGGCTACTTTCCTAGCCTCTGCCCCCATCCCTCCCTCTACTTCGTGTAATCAGGTTCTGGTGGTATACTGCAAGGTCAGCCGTTCGAGACAGTCACTCCTGAGCCTCCAGAGAATGACCAGGCTTTCCACTCCCGCAGTCTGTCTAGGGACCGGGCATTTCTCCCCTGCCCTATGGCCTCACTAAGCTCGGAGTTGGCGTGGACTGATGGCAGCGAGTTGATTCTTACGGCATGTTGCCAAGGTGTTTTCACCTGCCTTTTTTCCCCCCATCCCTGTGCCTTCGGTCCCACGGACGACGCGCATTGCCTGTTGCTAAGGCATGTTATTGCTGGCTTTATTGGGTTGTTGGCCTGGGGAAAGGTACAAAGGTAGCCCAGCTGGACTTCATGATCTGAGTTCCTGACGTTCCTCACACTAGGTTACACAGAGTGTGTGGCCTAAAGAGAACTACTTTGGAGAACACTGGATTTGATCTATTTGGAGCTCTGGTATGTTTAAGAAAAATACCATTATATAACTTTATTATCTTTGCCCCATTCGTGTGTTTATTTCGTTCTGAAGGATGAGTAGATGGCAATGCGAGGGGCTTGTTTTGTTTCTTTTGGTGGTTACCCCGCCCTTTTCCGTGTCCTCTGAAACACTTCTCCTTCCCTTCCTGGTACTGATGGTGTTGCTGTTAACCGGTTATTGCCCGCCAGCCCCTTCCCTAGAAGCTCACGCTTTGATAACCGTCCTATACAGAGAACAACCAAGGAGTAGTACAGAGGGGTGTAACTATGTGTCCAACCGACGCGTCTCAAGGGCAGGGAATATGCACACAAGGATGCCTGTGTGGCAGAGAAAAGCGCTCACTGTCCGTCCTGGCAGAGCCCTTGTCCACTCCCTCCCACACATACACACCTCTATGGCTTGAGTGAGACACTTGGGCCTTTCCCAAACTAACTTGACTTTTTAAAAATAAAAATGATTTTCCCTTTGACTCTCAACGTTCTTCCCAGCGTCCCGAGCCCGGGAAGTGGGGGAGGGGGTGTGTCTCCTGCTTTGCTACTTCTCTGTGCCGCAGGCAGTTCAGTTTGGGAGGCTCTGCCGAGGCTGGCTCAGTCCAAGAGCCCCCATCCAGGTCCACGCGCCTGCCCTTTGCTCCCCCGCTTTTCAAGAGGCGCGCGGGGCGGGCGGGGGGGGGGCGTGGGCGTAGTCGGAGATTCTGAGAAAACCTCCGGACTGTACTGGGGGCCCCAGGCGGTGGCCACGTTCAGCTCCTGGCTGGATGCCAGGGGAAGGAGCCTGGGGTGAGGGGAGGGCCCTGAGGGAGGGGTCAGGCTCCTAAGGAAAGAGTTAATGTGAGGAGGGGGAGGGGATAGGAGGAAGAGACGAACGCAGGTAGGAAGAGCGCGGAAGGGAAGTCCAGTGGAGAGAGAGAAGGCAGCCCGCAGGGTCAGGGGTCAGAGTTTGGGGACTTCCCCCTCCGCACGCACCCTCATCCTAAGGCCGCTAACTTCCAGCTGCGGCCGCGACTTTCAGTTTCATTTCCCCGGACCCTCCTGCCTGGGCCGCAGCCACCGCCGCGATGCCCCGTAAGTTCAGCTGCCGGCAGCTCCGGGAGACCGGCCAGAGCTTCGAGAGTTTCCTGGCCGTTCGGGGACTGGACCTGGAGACGGATCGCGAGGTGTTACGGACCATTTATAACCAGGAATTCAAGATCAGGTACGGCCGGCCCACCTTGCCCTCGAATCG